AATGGATTAAAATCCCCAATTGAATAATATTTGGCTAGAAACCATGTTTGCAAAGTGTTTACAAAGACCCTTTACTGCATCATGAGTTTTTGGGGATGTAGTTATCAAAGACCAGAATTTAGATTTTAAAAGTGATCACAACTCTTAAAATCCAAAAATAACCATAAGCTTTTATGAAATTGTTATCTGAAGGAAACAGTTTTTAGATATTTAGTGTCTACAGCAAGTTAAAAAGACAGTTTTTGGTTGTGCTGTACATTCATGTACTTTCTCTTTTTATTCACAAAAGTGCAGGTACATGGGTAATGTTATTTTATAAATTGACAAACTGGATCTCTTAACTTCAGGTCCCATGTTCTTTCCACTATGGTCAGGAATCATTTTTTTTTTTTAAGATTTATTTATTTATTCATACAGAACTGGGGTACAAGCCGGGGATGCGGAGGGTGAGAGGATTCACCAGGGACAGAGTGGGGAGCAGAACAGGCAGATCAGCAGAACAGCAGAACAGTACACTGCTGAGGGGAGCGGCAGGCTGGTCAGGAGAGGTCTGCCACGCCGTGTGGATCACCTCCGGTGAGGCGGGGATTGAACTCATGCGGAAGTGGCTTAAGCTTCTCAGTGCAGTGCTTTAACCCGCTGCGCCACCAGAGAGGGCCCAGGAATCATTTTTTGAGGTTTAAAAAAGCTAATTAAGATAATAGCAACAGTAATAGTACAGGATATACCCTAATTGTGGTGCATATATTCAAGAACCTAGAGGGTTCCTGAAGCCGCAGATGGTACTGAGCCCTGTATATAGTGGTTATTTTCCCTATGTGCTCATACTAGTAATATATCAATTAGGCACAGTAAGTGATTAAGAACAACAGTAAAGAATAAAATAAAGCAACCATAACAATATACTATAAAAGTTATGTGACTGTGGCCTGTCTCTCAAAATATCTTAATGCTCATAATATTTTTTAAAACATTATTGAACACAGGTAACTGAAACCATAGAAGGTAAAATCTTGGACAAGGGGTGCCTACTGTAAAGATACTCTGTAATAGTGTAATAATTATGAAAGACATTCATTTTTTAAACTGTTAAACTATCCATTGTTTGTGTTTTGTTTTCTCTCTAACTTCCATGTGTGGGCATCAGGGCTAGTTTTCTTTCTTTTTTTAATATATTTATTTATATATAGATATTTTACATCATTGTTCATTTTTGTGCAATATTTGACTTTATTTATTAGTTTCCACTTGCAGATCTGATTAGCTTACACCTAGAATAGTTAAAAGCAGAGATTGAACTTTGTAGCTTTGGCAAATTTTACCTTAATTTGTGACCTTTCTGATACCTAGTGGCATTCACAATGTGGCAGTATTTGTGAATTTGGAGGAATAAAACTGAAACATGCAAAGTTCATAGAATTTCATTAAAAAGAGATGATTACATAAAAGATGACAGTCAAGATGAGGCAGAAATCATTGTTTAATTTATAGTTGATAAACCTCCATTTACTCAGCCCCAAACTTTTTACTAAATCAGGGGAAGAAATTAATATATTTTATGACTTTTTATTCACTTTTGTTATTAAATTATCTTTTCACTTTTATTTTTACTGTTGTATAGGGAATGAGAGTCTCTATATCCTAGACTTTAAGTTTTAGCTTACCCACTCTTTCCTCTAGAGGGAGCACGGTAGTCCCAGAACATTCAAGAATCTAAAATAAGGAAACATGTTTTTATGTCCATCATACAAATCTATTACCAGAAACACTTTCTTTTTACACTAAAATTTCTGAAGATTTCTAGCCTCTATTTTCTTATTTAAGAGAAAAGGATAATTTAAGATACTGTTAGAAACTAGTCATGAACATTTAGAATTTTGTTTAGTTCAGATTTCAAAGACTCAGATTATCTTTGAACTTGGTGTTACACATCTTTTTGCATTCCACACCACTGTTGATTTCAAACTTACCTTCAGATATTTATCCCCTCCTGCATTATCATTTTTCATAGTGCCCACAAAGAGCTTCTAACATTGCCCTATAGAATGTTCTGTAATGACGGAAATGTTCAGCAGTCTACTTGTCCAGCCAGGTAATAACTAGCCACATGTTGCTATTGAATATTTGAAATGTAGCAAAAGTGACTGAAGAAACGAATTTTTCATTTATCTTAATAGCCAGTCTGCAGCTGCCATCTCAAAACAGCTCAGTGAGCCTTCAGACAGCAAACTATCTCACACAAGTCTGCGCTCCAGGATTCTGACATGGGGAAGTAACTTCTTAGGAACTTCTAAGTGGTACATTTAAAGTGTCAGTAAATTCCCAAGACAAAATTGATTTTTGAGATTTTGTTGTAATAAACAAGCAGTACATTCATCTTTACTCACGCCCTTAAGCATTCTCCTTCCCCAGCGGTAGTGCCACTTTCTCTGTGTCTGTGACAATCCCACTGAGCCCTAAACTGCCACTTGCTCTTCTGCTGCCCGAACAAATCTAGATGCTTTGTCAGTTTCTCAATAAATTTTTGTTGGAATAGTGCCAGGTCCTCTGACTTTATAATTTTATCTCTTTCCATTTTAATTTTTATATGTATATTCTGTCACTTGCAGAAGAGTTAAGAGTTAGTAAAAGTAATTCCATTGTCTTTGATGATGAATTATGGGCATAAACCATAGGACTAGATAAAACCTGGACTAGGTAAAACCTTTTTTAATCAAAATAAATGAGGATTTTCCTAAGGATTAGCTCAGATTAAGTTCAACTATGAGTGATCAAAATCCCAACTTAAAGTAGCTTTAAAAGAGTAGCGTTTTAGTTCTCTGTCACACGTGAGTCCCGGTGGAATAATCCTGCTGGCAGTGACCTCCCATGGGGTCAGGGACTTGGCTCTTCACTTCACCTGAGGTCCTTGTCTTTGTGATATAACATGGAATTATCCAGGGTTCCAGGAGCAGATTGCATGAAAGAACTGTGAACAAGAAACAGTTCACACACAACTACTTCTAAGAGAACAGCCTGGAAGTTGCCATTCCTTTTATCATCTCTGTGGTGTAGGTTGTCACATAGGAGAGCTATGTCATGTATGTGACATATGTGACAACCTAGGAAAATAGTCTCCTAGCTTAGAGACTATTTTCTTAATTCTGAACTGTTAAATACCAACTCAGAATCTTATTACTGTATAAGAAAAGGGAACTGATGGGGCGACTCTGTCTCTGCCACATACATTTTGAAAGGAATCTGACCGTCCGTCCGACCTTCTCATTTCTTCATTTAATAGTTTGTGTATACTTTAAATCACCATCCTGATTTCATTGCAATTTTAAGTAAGGTTTTTTTTTTTTCCTTTTCGTGTTTTGTTGTTATGTGGAGCTCTAGAATCAACCCATTATTTTTCCTCTTTGACTCTTAATATACAACCAGAGACACAGATTTAAATATTCCACATAAAATCTTTATTTAAACCAAATAATTAACTATTTCCTGGTATTATTTTCCAAGACCCCCTTAAATGAAAAAAAAAAAAAAAACAAATGAACTTGTGCTGTTCTTTTTATTCTCTCTGTCCTTGTTTTTATTCTGACTATTTAACCCCATAATCTTTCTCCTGGAACATTTTTCTGCATGCTCATTTATTTAAGACACTTCTTGCACACCTGCTGTGAGGCAGACACTGTGCCAAGCACATGGCTTAGGGTGTACATGGCCCCATTCAACAGGAACCAGACACTGAGGGAGTAGCCGACACACAGTAGTTACATGTGAAGGACCAGGCATGGTCATGAGAAAGAGTACTGGATTCTGAGGATTCTGGCATGGTGTGGACACCAAGGGTTACTTGTCTGGGGTGAGAGTATGGAATAAAGACAACATTTCAGGCTGAGGGCCCCTAGGAGAGGCTGAGACAGGTGAAGCTGCCTGGAAAGGCAAGACTAAATGTGGAAGCCGTATTAGCCACAGGAAGGAATCTCAGATTTAAGTAAAGTCCAATTACATAGTGGACTCTGAGATCAGATTCTTGTTGAACTCTTGCTCATCATACTACACACAGCACAGATGCCATCTTTTCCATGGAGCTTTTTCTAAAAGGACCACCCCAGAGCTCAGCATCTCTTATCACTGCACCTGTCCCTTGATTTATATTCCCCCTGGCCATGGAATTCTGTATTGTCACCTTCCCTAACCTGTGCTCCCTCAGACCCCCTTAGGTGGCCCTCCTTCCTAGGGAGCCACCTTCTCCTCCTCGCTGTCCCCCTTACATGTCATCATCACACTCATCTTTGCAGTTCTATCCAGTGATTCTCCAGTGCCTAGTGTATGGTAATATGTGCCAGTTCAGATAGATTATAAATAAAGACACAGGTTCTTTTTCAAGGAAATGCTGTCATCTAAGACATCCCTCTGTCCTTTACTTGATTTCCTCGATTGTCAAAGGTGTTTCTTCCCTCTCATTGTTCATAGATTCATGAGCAGAGTTCTCTTTTTAAACCCTGTGAGCAGGCACTAGAAGTATTCCCAGCATTTATTTGTGTATGCAGGCAATAAATGTTTACTGAGCTATGGATGTTTCACACTGGGAATATATAGCAGTGAACAGCAGTCATTGCATGGAATTCAGTATATTCCAGCAGAGGGAAACAGAGCTTAAACCAGTGACTGTGGATTAGGTGGAGAAGTGATGCTGTGAGGAAGTAGCATAGCAGCAAGGGAAAAAGCTCTGTGGGAGAAATCTTTTCTTTCAGTTTCTAGCTTTCTGCCTTTGTTCATGGAACAAATATATTCATAGTTAAATTGTGTAGGATGTGGCCCCTCTCTGAAAACTGAAGTGGTACAGCCACCAGCCTAGCCTAGAGATTTGTGTTTTTGGTTGCTGCTTTTGTTTGTTTTTAAAAGGGAGGTAATGGGAAAATTCTTTCCAACTTGTATGTTTAAGTGATTCTATTAATATTGATTCTAGTTTTGTAACCCGTAGTAACATGTTTACCCTGCTTTATTTGAAGGCTCTTGAGATCTGTCAGCAGAGAAACTTTGTAGAAGAGACAGTTTATCTTTTGAGTAAGTGGCTTTTATTCATTTTGGTCCCCATGAACTAAAATAAAAAGTGACAATTTGATGTAAACTGTCTAAGAGTGAACATAAGTTTAGACTGAGGTAATAAAGAGGCAAGAGTCTATTTTATAAAAGAATTTAACACATGGAAAGGAGACTTCACAGCTCACCAGAAAAGGAAGAATTGTTTAGTAAATGCTGTTGAAAGAACACATTAGTATTGTGTGATAAACATTAAAATCTCTTCATATACCTTACAACATGAAATAAATTATAGACAAGTTGATAAGTTGCTAATTAAAAAAAAAATCAGCTTATATTGTTATCATCTTGGTAGAAAATACTGTCTTATTTTCAAAAATTATATCCTAAGTAACCAGAGGAAACACCATTAAAGATCAAACTTTTGGCAGAAAGAATTTTTTTATTATAATCTAGCTTTCAATTGCCCTTAATCATTTAGCTGCCTCTACCTATATCACATGTACCAAGACAAGGAATTTATTATCAGCTTTCTGAAAATTTCCCAGTGAAGGTCTGTGGAGACATTTGTAGCATTAACATGCAGTTCATACCAGCTGTTTCTCGAGCACCCCTCTGTGCTATGCTCTGGTATTACCCTACCAGATCTTTCCACTCATCTAGCACTCAGCCTCATGGGTACCTTGGGATGACATTGTGAAAAGTAATTTAAATCTTCTGTCAGTGCATATGCATATACAGATTCATAGGTCCAAGCACCAAACTCTGAACCAGACATCAGTTATAGGGTTATACCTCCCTTAGGTGAAAACGTTTCAGGGACTCTTTTATTACCCAAGTAAGTTCTTGGCACTCTGATCACAACTTCAAATAGCTTTTCAATTTGTTCCTTCCGAGTCCCATCTAAGAATTGTTACACTAGTTAAGTTTTAGTCATAATGTCCTGTTGTTTGAGAAGCAGTAGAGAACTTACAAAGAAAAGCAGTTGCCCTTTTTAAGTCATAAAAACTTAAAGATACTATACACATTTTTTAAAACAACCTTTTTAAAAGCATAGGCTATGGAAATGGTATTTGTAGAGAAAACAAAGGTTGTAGAAAGTATAGCAAATAAGACATAATCAGTTGTCATCCTTTGATAATGGTTCCCTAGGGAGAAGGATTTAAGCCCATTACTATCAATAGTCTCTGCTTTGGGCCAGGGGTAAGGGTAACTGTACATAGTCTAGCAGTTACTGTCAGTCTCTGCACTGAGTAAAACTTCCTGTGTCTATATGTTTAAAACTCATGTAAATTGTTTACAAAGTCATAAAAATGCCCGTAGATCAAAGAGCCAAGTGTAAAGAAAATTAACCAAATTGTAACAGAACTGGTAAATACGTTCATTTCATGAAGGTTGTTAAAATGATTTCACCCCAACTTGGAAGAGAAGGAAAGGAATTTACAGCTAGTTGAATGTACAGTTGGCACAAACTGCACAAGGCAAAAGTACCTAACAAGACAGAGTGCCTCCAGGACCTATCTAAAGGAGCATGGAGCTACCAAAAGACACTGTAAGCAGAACGAAGTCAGACACAGAGCTGAGCTCAGGTTCAGATCAGTCTCTTATCAGATGCTGTGTGATCTTGGTTAATAGTTAACAGCCCCATTTCCTCTTCTGGAAAGAGAAATATTAGGAAAACAAACCTCACAGAAATACAGTGATGTCTTAGGAAGCACTTAACTGAGTCCTCAGCACAAAGTAAACACCCAGGAAATAGGAGCTGTGTATTATGCCATGTTATGGATAGTAAAAGTCCATGTCACATAAGAAAATATGTTTTGAACTATTTTAGACTGTCTGAGGAAATTAAGGCATGCCCTATTCGTTTCAATATGTCTTATTGAAATACCTTAAATGAAGTATTTTTCACATCTTTGCTAGGCCGAATGGGTAATAGCCGAAGCGCCCTGAAGATGATCATGGAGGAATTACATGATGTTGATAAAGCAATTGAATTTGCCAAGGAGCAAGATGATGGAGAACTCTGGGAAGATCTAATTTTATATTCTATTGACAAACCACGTAAGCAGAAAATCTATCTATAATCATAACTTTTGTCTTTCACATGGAGAGTTAGAATTATTTCAAGACACATTGGATGAAGAATATCACAGCATACCAGTAATAAACATGGGTCAGGAATATTGTAATGATTGCCATTACTCCTTCCGCACAGAGACCTGGACCCTCATCACTTTGCAAATGAATATGATAAAGAACAAGTGGTTAACCTGATAATATTAACTGTGTTCCCGTGATGCATAGCTCAATTGCTGCAGTCAGATTGGATAAATGCAATCTGCCATGGTTTTGTTTTATTTTTTGTAATTTGTGCAATTGGGCATTTAATTTGAAGTTTGTAGCCCTTATCACTCTCTTTTTTTGGAAACTTAACTGTCCCTGGGCTTATCCATACCTGGAGGTTTGCTACTGTAGTATTTATCTTTTTCCTGCTCCATTTTATCTGTGCAACATATCGAGTGTGTAATTGTTGGCCTTATATGTGACCATTTGCATTGGATATCCCATTTTGGAAAGAATCAAAAAGCAGTCCCCTACAAATCCTCTTTTGTAGATGTAAAAATGATTCAATGGCTAGTTGCTTAAAATTACTAATCAAATAAACAGTCAAAAGCAATAGTTTAAAATTTTCATTTTGGTGGGGAAAAGTTTATCTATTATAAGATTTTTCAAGTTCTAGAAATTGTTGTGATTGTCTCTTTAATCAGAAATATGAGTGGATAATGTTATTAAAGTCATTTTCACACTAAGGCAATTACATGCACATTATCTTTGAGAAATCTTTGCATAATTAAGTAGTTTAAGAATCTTAAAGGAGTCAAGTGGGCGTAATGAAACATTGTGAACTTGGATCTGGCAGGTTTGAATTTGGACTTATGTGACTGAATATATTCACCACTCCATTTCCCTTGTTTGTAAAATGGAGACAAATAGCATTCTTGCAGAACAAGGGGGAAAGTGTATTTGAAAAAAAAAAAAAAAAGCTGAGCCATAGTAAAATTTCAATTAATATTAGTCATACCCTTTTTTTTATTTTTAAAGTTTTTATTTAATTTTATTTTTGCATTAAAGAACTGAGGTATAGGCCAGAGGTGGGAGAGAAGGAGGTCATAGTGGTGAGAGGATTTACCAGAAACATAGTGGGGAGCAGAACAGGCAAATACATTGCTGAGTGGAGCAATAGGCAAAACAGTAGAGATCTGCAGTGCCACATGGGTCTGCTCCCTGGCCGGGGATGGAGCTCAGGCCGCAGTGGTGATGGTGCTGAGACTTACCCCCTATGCCACCAGGGAAGTCCCTTCTATAGCCTTTTGAGATAGCCAATTGTATTTTCTTTTATGTCATGAAGAAAGTAAGTCAAGATTCATTTTTGAGAGTTAGAAATGCAAATGGTTTTAACACTTGAAAGGAAGTGATTTTTTTTTTTTTTTTTTTGTTACTGACTTTTGGCCTACAACTGCATTGTATACATTGCTTATATAGTGTTTTTTGTGTTATTTTCAGCATTCATTACTGGCCTGTTAAACAACATTGGCACGCATGTTGACCCGATTCTACTTATTCATCGCATTAAAGAAGGAATGGAGATTCCTAATTTGAGAGATTCCTTGGTTAAAATTCTGCAAGACTACAATTTACAGGTCAGTATCCTTTTTTGGATATATAAGCATACTGAGTGAGTTGGCTGGCTACTAGGTAAAAATTTTAAGGGTTTATTTTAGATATCAAATAATTCAATTTGATAGTTATATTTTATTTAGGCTCAAATATTTGGAAAATTGTTCCAGTAGACAAATTTGAAATAGCACCCTTTACAGAAGCCATCCAATTTTGTTTATCACCCTTAACTTTTGTCTTCTTGATAAACAGGTCTTCTCATATTGTTGTGTAAATATAGCATGGCGTAGAGGAACATATGGGAATAGTTCAGTTACTATCAGACCTAACCATGAAAATCATTTTTAAGTACAAAGAATATTGGGATAATAAAAATTTGGTTTTTAAGTAGTTTGTCAATTTCCTTCAAGCCACTCAGTAACCCAGTGACTGAAACACATTTAAATACAGGATCTTATTTAACCATTTGTGTGTTTTCTAGACTAATACAACTTTATTATCTGCAGTAATTCCAAATTTGCAATAAGAGCAATGAAGTACATTTTGTTCATATAAATAATTAATATGCTAATTACAAAGCATTCTAACGTTTTTCTTAAAATGACTAGCAATTGTTATTTTCAGAATACTGGTGATTTCAGTAGAACTGGAAATTATTCAAAGCACATTTCTTTCAAAATTCAGACTATCCTTTTACTACTTCATTTGAAAAATAAGTGCTCTGATAAGGATGAAATCGCTTTCCTGGAAACATAAAGATGTTGCAAACAGAGCCAAAAGACAAAAGCATGGGGAGAGAAATGGTTTCAGCCTAAGTAAAGAGAGGAACATCATGAAGAAGATTTAAGGAACCATAATCACTATAAGGGTGTGGAGTGGTAGCCTCCACCACTATTCAAAAACCAAATTTTTATCCCCTCAATATTCTTTCTACTTAAAAATGGCTTTCATGGTCATATCTGACAGTAACTGTACTATTTCCACACGATCCCCAATGCCACGCTAAGTGGTTGAAAGGAAAAGAAATGGAGGAATATTGACAGCATCAAGAAGAGTTATGGAAAATATAAAGGAATGGCAGAGCCCCAAGCTATAAGATTGTGGCACTGAAATTTCCAGAGGCCACACTGTGGATGTTTTTCAAAAGCAGGGGGAAGGTAAGGGTCCCTGGAGTAGAATTAGTGGGGAAACTGTGAGACAACAATAAATCATCCAAGTAGGCACTGAGGAATGTGCAGCTGGTGGGAGCCCTTCAGCCAGGCTCCAGCATTCTCCATGAACTAGGAGATATCAGCATAAAAGTGAAGTTTTCCTGAAGGTTGTGATATCAGAAAACAAGGGGCTTTCACTGAGGGAGGCTTGTGGGAAATCAGTCATAATAGAAAAATAGGTATTTGATTAAGGCAAAGAAGTAGTGGACCTGTGGACCTATTCTGAAAGAAAAAAAAAAAAGATATAGAACTATTCATTTGCAGTGGAATTTGGAACTTTACAGAGGACCTGGAGAAGGAATATGGGAAGGATGATGAGAAAAGGACAGGAAGAAGAGTTAATGTGGACACAGGCCATTACATGAGAGATGACGTGAGGAGCTTGCATTCATGCAGAGCCCAAGAGATGCACAAAAGTCACCAAGTCAGGAAATAATTAGCTAACTCTAAGGCTTGAAATTGGCTTTGGTGAAAGAGGTTTCACAGCCAGACCCTATAAAGTGAGCTTGATAATTACCAGTATTTCTAGGTTTGCCAGGGCATTCCAAGTTTCAGATCTAGTGTGTTAACAACCCTCTTGCGTATTTCAGAAGATCTCTGCCAAAAAGAAGTGATGAATAATTACCTTTCTATCCTCCAGCTCAAAAAGTACAAGTTTCACCTTTAGGTTGAAAAATGTGCCTTACTTTTTCCTCAGCCTTCACAATGCCTACATAACCACCTAATAAGTTCCTCTTACTAGGCGCTTCCTCCAGAGAACCAACTCAACACCCCTGAAAGATCACTATTTAGCCTTTTTTTAAAATTGAGATAAATCTTGGTTTATCACACTGTATGTGACTCAGAGGCATAGGTCACAGCTCAAATGCATATTCCCCACCACACCCTCCACCACGGCACCCATAGCTCCTATCAAAGTCCATTGTGCCCTCTCCCTACTGTGTATTCCTCCCTTCCCCTCTTGTAGCAATTCAATTACTTTTCTAGGATTTGGTATTTGCTTGTTATTATCTCACCCTTTATTTTGCTTCTCTGTATTTCATATGTAAGTAAAACCATCCAATATGTATTCCCTCCATTTCCTTCCATGTTATTGCAAGCAGTGAGAGATCATGCCTTTTTATTGAGTAGTACTCCATTCTGTATATATATGACATTTTTAATCATTTTAAATGAATGAATATGCATAGTTCTGAGTCAACTGGGAATGAAAATAATACTATTAGATACAAAATGGATTCCATATAAAAACTACCCACTGGGCCCTCCCTGGTGGCCCCATGGGTAAGGACACAGCACTGCAAGCTAGCCACAGCCGCTTCAGTGAGAGTTCAATCCCCCAGCCCCAGAGGTGACCCACATGGCGTGGCAGACTCTGACCTGGCCGCTGCTCCCTTCTGCAGTGTACTTGGTCAGTCTGCCTGTTCTCCTCCCTACTTTGTCTCTGGTGAGTCTTCTCACTGCCCCTGCACCTCTGGCGTGTATCCCATTTCTGTATGCATAAATAAATAAATATTTTTAAAAATCAAACAAACTACCCACTAAGACAGTTGTTAAGTAATTTTTAATCTTCTTCATTATATTTTAGAATATACTAAGAGCTTTTCCTTAAGATATGTAAGTATGCAGTTAGTGATATGTTAAAAAGTCAAGATGTTATTTAGCCTGTCGTACAAAGAACAGTGGCTACCTAGAAATCTCTGATCAGTGTGTACCTTCTGGGACGGTATAGGTGGGATCCTCAAGGACAGTGACAGCCTGTGGAAACTGCCATCCTCGTCACCACTAGAGCTTAGATATCTTGTTGGGAGGCAATAGAGAAAAAATATTCTGCTGGGGACAATTGTTCAAAGAATTCAGGGTGTACTTTTGACTTGCATGTGATAAAAAGATATTAGCATTATTTTTTCCTGTGGAAAAAAGCTACTCTTTTTTATTAGTGGTGATTTATTTTCACTCTCTAGGCACTCTATTTAAAGAGCACCACTGCAAAAAAAAAACTAAAACCAATTTTGAACCAGTTTGAATCTTCCAGAAGGGTTTCACATACATGTTTTTTATTCTTTCTAGTTGTTTTTGTTAGCTTATTTCATAAAACTATAGCTAGTGATATGTTAAAAAGATTTTCACATGTCCTAACAGAATAATAAACTGTCTATTCTGTTAATCTCAAAAACTAGGTGAGGAGGAAATGTTCAGGTCCATGAATTTGCAAGAATCTAGAATCGCTTGTGTCTAGGGGAGTGGATGACCCTGTGGTGTAATAAAATCATGTATCAAGCATACAGATTCCATGGTTAACTGTAGTGAAGGGCTGTCACTAGGCATTTAGCATATTCATTATTTGTTCATTCATTCATTCATTTTGTTTTATATGCACTGGGAATCTCAAAGGGGCAGATTTACAGTAGAATTACATTTTAAAATGCCTTTGGCCATTGAAAATTCTCATTTACCAGTTTTAAAGAAGGTAGCAAGCATTGTGGAGAAGACCTTAAAATAAAACTCTGATTTAAAAATTTTATGTTTTTTGAAATCCACATTTTTTTCATATAAAGTTTACATTAGCTATGTTAGATGTCTAGGACTTAGCTAAAGTTAATGAAATAGTATGATCAGACACATCAATATTTAAATTTTAAAGTTTTAATTTACATTTGTATTTCTTGTTATAATTATTCAACAGATTTTAAAGACTAAATAAATTCAGTAAGATAAAAATAACCCTTATATTTCACAAACTTAAAGTGTGGGGGGGCCTGATTTGTTTTCATGTAAATTTCACATAAAACAATATGATATAAATGGTATTTTAATTTTTACAGTAAACTGACCACAGTTTACAAATTATTTTGTTATAAATTCTTTTTTAACTTTTATACTTTTAAAATATTTTTTATTTATTTAGCATCTTATTTAGATTTTTATTTCCTTTCCTATTGTTGGAATATGTGTTTTCCATCATCTTTGTTCTTAAATACTTCTACGTAGACAGTCTTTTTTGACAGTCATTTCATCCTCACACTAATCTTTCAGAACTATCATTTCATATTACAGATGAGTATATTAAGTGTCAAAAAGGTTGAATTGCTTGCCAGTCTTGGAAAATGATAAACTAGTTTGAATCCAGAGCCTCTGACTAGGTCAGATGTATCTCGCTGGTTGTCCCATAGGTCTCTAGAGATATGCAGTGATTATTATGCGGGTTATACCAGAGGAATATAATGGAAAATGAATGGTGTCTTTAGTGAGCAATGGATGTGGTTTTTACAGACCTGCCTGGCTTTGCCATTAACGCTAGTGTTGATCTTTGGGAAAAAACTTAGAAGTTTTCCCTTAAAATTACATCAATATTTGTCAAGCCTGGCTACATACCAGGATTATCTTAACATTTTTAAATTAACCTAATTTCAGATACTACCCCAGATCTGCTGGATTAGAATCTCTTGGGAGAGGACTAGGAGTTATGTCCTGAAACTACCTTCCTTTTGTCTGTTACTCAGTCATCCTGGTATTGGGTTATGCATGGATATTTAGGAAGCTCTAGATCAATAGTTCTAAACCTACCAACAAGTGTTTCCTTCCCCTCCCCCCCCACCCTCACCAGCACATGTACTTTTTTGTCTTTTTGATAACTCTTCTAACAGAATCAAGGAAAATGATTTCACATTTGAGCTCTAGCATTATATGTGGGCTTGTAAAGCCAGGAATGTCATTTGTTCTTCTCATGATAAGAACTACAGTATGAACAATCCAAGTCATCAAAAAGTTCAACATTTAAAGAATCGGGTGCTTCTTTTTTTTGGTTTGGA